TGTACCATTTAAAATAAAATAAAAAAGTGCCAGTGATTGACCTCAATCGCTCCTATTCTTCCAATATCCTGATGAAAAATAAAATCTCTCTGTTGCATAGGCCACTGTTTGATCAACGCGAATTGGGTGTGGGTCCTTGTACTCCGAGTCGGGCTAACGTCCACGCTAGCTTCCACGCTAGCTGCTATATGTTTTGCATTGAGGTGATACTTGAGGCTTGATGTGCTGCGGTGATACGCAAATTCCTTTTTGCATAATTTGCAAACAACCGTGCTCTTATCGATGCTTCCATCCGTCCGTTTTTTAAAACAAAATGTCCCATCCACGGGGCCAACCAAAGCGGTCTCATCAGCTTGTTCGTTCATGTTTGACTATTGTTCACTGTGGTTTGTTGTTGTTTGAAGTCGTGAACGTTAGTTGGTGCTCCAGTATAATCGGTACCCCTGAAACTCATCCAGTGAGAAACGTTCCATGGTGCTAAAAATAAGTGCGATTAAAATGCGTTAATTTTTTTAACGCGTTAATTTTTGTGTAATTAATTAATCTTAATTAACGCGTTAAAGTCCCGGCCCTAATAATAAGATGTACTTTGTTGATCCAAAATCGGGAAATTGTGTTGTGATGAAATAAAAATATATACAGTTGCAAGAAAAAGTATGTGAACCCTTTGGAATTACCTGGATTTCTGCATAAGTTGGTCATAAAATTTAGGAAGCCACTGCTGTCCAGAAAAAACATTGCTGCATGTTTGAAGTTTGCAAAAGAGCGCCTGGATGTTCCACAGCACTACTGGCAAAATATTCTGTGGACAGATGAAACCAAAGTTGAGTTGTTTGGAAGGAACACACAACGCTATGTGTGGAGAAAAAAAGGCACAGCACACCAACATCAAAACCTCATCCCAACTGTGAAGTATGGTGGAGGGAGCATCATGGTTTGGGGCTGCTTTGCTGCCTCAGGGCCTGGACAGATTGCCATCATCGACGGAAAAATGAATTCTCAAGTTTATCAAGACATTTTGCTGGAGAACTTAAGGCCATCTGTCCACCAATTGAAGCTCAACAGAAGATGGGTGATGCAACAGGACAACGACCCAAAGCACAGAAGTAAATCAACAACAGAATGGCTTCAACAGAAGAAAATACGCCTTCTGGAGTGGCCCAGTCAGAGTCCTGACCTCAACCCAATTGAGATGCTGTGGCATGACCTCAAGAGAGCGATTCACACCAGACATCAAAAGAATATTGCTGAACTGAAACAGTTTTGTAAAGAGGAATGGTCCAAAATTCCTCCTGACCGTTGTGCAGGTCTGATANCTTGTTGTTCTTTGTTTGAAATACAGTTGCAAGAAAAAGTATGTGAACCCTTTGGAATTACCTGGGCTTCCTAAATTTTATGACCAATTTATGCAGAAATCCAGGTAATTCCAAAGGGTTCACATACTTTTTCTTGCAACTGTATTTCAAACAAAGAACAACAAGCATACTCACAAACATAAACAAATTGAAAACATTGACCGTGTACCAACCAGAGGATGGTGCCAAGATTCTCAAAGAACATCCTCCCTGGCAGGAAGTATCCTGCGTCTAACACAATTGGCGGGAGCAGAAAGAGGAAGAAAGCATCAGCGCTGAGGGTTGGGGGGGCAGAGTGGCGAACGCCATAGATCACTCCTCCAACCAGAAGGCCCACCATGATGAGGAGACAGCTCTCTGGGACCACTGCTGGGACCCGACCTGACCAGTGGAAACCTGGAGGTTAGAGACCGAGAAGGCAAAAGGATGTCATGCTAGTTGGTTTCAACCATATTGTGGATTTTGGAGCTGCAATAATTGTTCTTTCATTACTCTGACTGAAAGCACAAACGTCCAGCTACACCAAAAACTATTAAACATCATATAATTAGCGCACACTGCAAGATAATAATGGGATGCTATTATCTCCCAAATATGAAGACAATATATTTAATTGTAGAAAAACATTTTTGAATAGGGATACTTTTCAGAGTTATTGTCAGAAAATCATTAATTTCAATTAAAAAACACATGACAGTATGAGTATTTCCTTTGTACCTTTATATTATAAAAATAAGACATTTAAACAATGATTATGATATTGGCCAACCACTCGGATTACTCAAAAGGTAGTTGATGGAAACTTAAATATTACTGTTGCTGCATTCCATTATTTATTTCTTTACTTTTAAAAAGTTTGATAATCATAAGTAGTGAATGTTGTTGTGATATTTGCACTGCCTCGTTTAACTTCATCCCACCACCCTTAAAGCTTCTCTTGGCTTTTCACAGACTGTATTAGCCGAAGAGCAATTGAAGCTTACCCAGCTTGGCCAGCGAGGCCAGCATGATCCACAGCACGATTTCAAAGGGAGCCTGCACATGGTGATAGTCTACGCTGAAAACCCTTAGAGCCATGGGAAGATCCACAGACGGGCTGCCATCGCTGCTGTTTAAGCCCAGCGAGGAGGGCAGGTTTTGGGGCTGCAGAGGCTCAGCTCCGGGAGTCAGGGCCAAACATGCGGGCCAAAGCAGACAGGCAAAAAGCAGAGGAGAGAGAGTCCACAGGGCAGCCATCCTGCAGCCATGCTGGGACAACAGGAGAGAGAGACCGGGAGAGAATAGGCAGGGGTTATGGAGATAAAGGGAGGGCAAGCACAACACACACTCACATGTACACCCACACACAAAACAACCTAAACCCAACTCATGCAGTCACTAATGTGCACAGGAATCTCTGAGCTAGCAATGATAGCCAACCATCAGCACAGACCTAAACACACACGCAGAAACACACACACACACACACACACACACACACACACACACACACACACACACACACACACACACACACACACACACACATCTCACACACACACACACACACACACACACACACACACACACACACACACACACACACACACACACACACACACACACACACACACACACAGAAACCCACATACTTGACTATGTGGGGACACAACTTTTTTTGTGGTTTAGAAGGACACTACCACCATCCATACATTACAAATGTCACCCATGTTGTATTTTTCTTCTTTATAGTACCAGTTTGGGTACAAGGTTACAAACGTACACTTAGGCCTAAGGAACCTAATTAATTGACCTTAAGGGAGCCCATTAAAAAGTGGAATCCTCACTTTGCTTTTAGATACTTTGAGAATTTGACATAGCCGGGTAATAATTAATAACATGAATAATGGCTCTGAAGAAGGTTTCTGCTCTGTCTGCTGTGAAATTGGCCTGTTGCCGTAAAGGCCTTCAACCTGAGTAAATCTTATGCATATTATGACAAGGTTATGGTTCTATATTATTTCTTCATAAGCTCACTGTGAGACTGAACAGTGTAAAGTTACAACTCAAGTATAGACTGTAATATCTTATAACATGTGTTGATAAAAGGTCTACACCAGACTTCTAAACATTTGAGTTTGAAGCTGAGCAGCCTCTACAATTCATAGCGTAGACCAGGGGTGTCCAAAGAGGGCCAGATAAGGATAATAACAACTATTATTGTAATATTAACTGCATTTGGGTGCTTTATGTCCAGCTTGAAAACCATAACAGGTTACAAATCAAGCTTAAGCAGGCAAACACACCCAATAAATCATTGGGTTGTTGCTTTGTCAGTTTATGCTGGACCTCACTTTGAGGAGCCTGCAGGACAACTGAAGACTCAACACTCAGCCAAATAATCAGCATGGTGAAAATGTGGAGCCTGCCAAATTGTGCTGCACAGGTCCTCGCTAAAGCACATTAGTGCTCATTGCAGGATTTAATTGGCTAAATCACTTCCATTTACAGTATATGTAGGTTATAAATAGCTTAGTAACATTTCTTTGGTTATTTAAACCTGTTTTTAAAGTCATGAAAGTTTGTTTTTCAAGTAATATCTGCTTACATTGAGATATTCTGAAGGCGTGAAGACACTTTAAATATAATTTCAATTGTGCTTTAGCCAAAGTTTCATAATTTATTTCAGCTGTACCTGAAACGGCCATTTGTCCGTAAAAACCAGCCTTTAATTTTTAGAATTCATTTCAAAGCCTGAATGGGCTATTTTACTTCCAGGTTTATCTATAATGGGTTGCAGGAAGGGCTTATGTAACGAGTTATAAAGTATTATTGACTTTGATTTCTTCACAGCATAATGTTACAGATGATGTGTTATTTGGAAAATCTGACCAAAAGTTATAATATTGTTTTCATTCTTCATACACCTGATATAACATTATTAGACAACAATAACACAAACTAGAAACTTCTAGAAACTAAATAAAAATGTAAATGACTTTTTTTTTAACAAAATCCTTATGTTGACATCTGTTTTTACAAATAATCATACAAATTAGACAGTCATCACATTTTAAATAAGCATTTAATACATGTCATTTGTTTCTAAATATTATTGAGACGCACATCACTTACAAAAGTGAGACATGGCAGCACAATATTGAATTTGAAAATGTTATTCACATTTATACCAGCTAATAAAAACAGCAGAATTAGATACAATTTATTATTTGTAAACTGGTAACTAGTTTTATTTCTATAAATCTATATTTACAAGGCAAGTTCAATGTGCGTTGTAAATCTAAATATATCACTGGATTAGACTTTGCCTTAAAAAACTAAATACACACGCCCTCTTATATGTCAATAAATTCCAATGTGTATCATGGAAAAGTAGGATGCTGCAGTTCTTCAAAGCTGACAGCAGATGGCACATGAGAGCAGGTACATTTGAGACATATTTTATAAAGCAAGTAAACAAAGGTAAACCAAAATAAAAGCATGCATTGATTAACTAAACTGCACTTGTTTGTCATGCTTTAGTTGCGTTTGGGTATATGCAAACTTGGAGGTAAGACAAGCAAAAACGCCCTGTGGAGCGTCACATTTCATTCTTTTGCAGGAGTGATTCATTGCAGATAAGTGCTGTCAGCTTCTGAAATCCTCAGCACTGGGGAGCTGAAGTTGGACGAGCAGGGATTTAAGTTCTGAGTGCTCAGATAACTAATCTTCTTGCCGCCGTCCCCTCCTGGCCCCTGCTCCAGACTGGCCTCCAGTGAGTCCGGGCCTTGAGGCTGGGTCCCAGGCAGAGGAACCAGGCCGTGCAGGAGGCTGTTCCCCAGGTGGGAGTGACATCGAGCCAAGTTGTCAGTCAGATGCTGCATGTACACCTCCTCCAACTGTTTCTCCAGAAGCCCGTTTAGCACCGAGTTAGACATCGGCTCCAACCCTGACCCGGGCAGATCCATGCTGATGTTCACACTGTTGGCCCCCATGACCAGATACCCCTGGTCTGGTATGGAGGCATGGTGGTTGCCTTGTGGCCCCTGTTGGGCTGCCCAACTAACACCTACTCTTTGGTATTGCCAGGAGTCTTCCTTGTGCTGGGGGATAGTGCGCGCCATGTAGGAGATGCGACCGCTGTCGGCCACCTGCAGGTCTGGGTACTGCTCCAGAAGGCTACAGTCCTGTAAGCCCAATGTGAGGTCATGGTCCAGATGGAGGACAGGGGGACACCCAGGGATTGACAGGCCTGCAGGTCCTTGAGGCAACACTTTCAGGCCCTGGAATTGGTTGGGATCTAGTTCATCCTGGTTTAGGGCTGACCAAAGGAAGTAAAATGGTTATTTGGGTATGCTATGGAAGCCAAAAGCGGCCATGTTTCAAATCTTTACTACATCCGATTACCTGTTATAGCAAGTTCCTTTTATTCGTTTTTTTCTAGCTCACAAGTTATACATGTTTGCATCTGTACATTTTGTTTCCCAAAATGACAGGGAACGGTAGAAGTTCAAATATTTTATTTCCTCAATTTCCTGTGATAACAAGTTTTATTGGTTTTCTTTAGAACACTAGTTATTTTCTTTATTATCTCGAAATATAAAATGTAAGATATACGCCTTGGTCTCACAATGAATCTATGAAACATATTTTTTAGCATGGCTGGAAATTATTTTAAGAAAATGATCCTGAATCAGGGAAATAATATGGAGCCCCTAAAGGGATATGAAAAAAAAAAAAACAGAGAGAAAAAAAAAGTCGGGATAACGGGTTAGCATTTCGTGCGCACAAAATACTTTCTGGTGAGCATGAGAAACTTTCTTGTGCTCACTTTTTTTTGTTGAGAAAGTTACCGGTGCGCCAAGGAGGAAGTGAAGTGCACAGGAGACAACCATTTCATTGCAGACTGTTATATTTACGTGGGGAAATGACAGCGCATACATTATTTGAGATATATTTCGTACTCAGACTTCAATTTAAGGACATTTCAGCCAGGGGTGTGTGGTCACTCCAGGAGGCAGCGGGACGTGTAACTCAGAGAAGAGCAGCACCAGCGCTCAAAGAGCTTTTACGCACCGCCTACACTGTGTTTACCTTCATTGAACAGCTATAAAGAGTGACCACAGGCTGTTACCTTTTAACCACACACACCTCTACACACATCAAACTGCCCGATTACTCCCCCTTTTATTAGTTTTATGAAGGAGATGTCCGGTCACCAGGGCGCATGATGGGCGGACTGGGACTAATAATCAGCCCAGGGATCTCATCTCGGGGGGCGGCTAGTGAACTGTCAACGGGGGGGGCCTCACTGCGGGGAAACAGTGGACCTAGTGGACCGATCGGAGTGGGCCGAGTGGCCCGATTGACCCACTTCGGTACCGGCCCATTGGGATTCGTCCCGAACGTCCCGATGGCCAGTCCGCCACTGGCTCTGTGTGTGTGTGTGTGTGTGTGTGTGTGTGTGTGTGTGTGTGTGTGTGTGTGTGTGTGTGTGTGTGTGTGTGTGTGTTCTGAGTATTTTTTCCCTATAAAACAGCTGCGGGCAGCAGGTATTCTGAGAGTCACGGACATTAATTCATAGATCAAAGCAGACTGGTTTACTGACTCTCTTAAACCAATAGCTCTAAACCCCTGGCCGAGATGTCCATAAAATTAAGTCTGAGTTCAAAATATATCTCAAATAATGTATGCACTGTCATTTCCCAACGTAAACCTAACAGTCTGCAATGGAATGGTTGTCTCCTGTGTGTTCCACTTCCTCCTTGGTGCATTGGTAACTTTCTCAACAAAAAAAAGTCAGGATAACGGATTCGTTTCTCGTGCACACAAGAAACGAACCCGTTTTCCTGACTTTACTTTTTTTCTTTCTCACTTTAGGGGCTCCGTAAAATAACACATTACTTAGAAATAAATAAAAATAAGATGTGAAAATAATTAAATGTCCGTTTATGGCTTCCATACAATTTTATTTCATGGTTTGGTGTGACTTATTTGCTATTTAGCATGAAAGCATTAGCAAGAATATATCTGACAAATGAAGCGCATTTTTGTAAAAGGGAAGCAAGTAAAGTAGATTGTGTGAAGTTAACACCAGTACACCACTCACATTATAAACAGTTACACGTAACATTACATTAGACAGTTTGTATGTTTTTAATGAGGCTGTTTACCTGTTTCTGCTGACTCTGCCTGTAGGTCTGTGGAGATAGACTCAGAGAGAATACAGCTTCTGAAGGAATCCGTACAGGGAGTCT